ATAATAATTGTAGAGATTGGGATTACTGGATTAGAAAATCTAAGAACAGTAGAAACGTAAAAGAAGCACAAACATGATCTCTTAGTAAATCACGCGGTCTCTATGTACAAATATAAAATAAATATTATTCCGTATGTGGTCACGTAGGGTGGTGTGGTTATTAATTACCATCAACAATATAGAAATGAGCTAAAACTGGAGAGCCAAATTAAAGCTTACATTTAATCCTGAATACTTATGTGAAACTGGAAAGCCTGCCTATGGATAGTCACCGAAAAGCGGACAATGAAGCAGATAGAGAAGAGTATGTTGGGATGAAGAAACCCATAGAATTGAATGGCGGAACAGGACACCTAATACTTGTGTATAAAATTACTACATAGTTATCTATACTTAAATAAGTGGGGTTATACCCATGACAATTTATTTATCTAGAAAAAAATGAGCATGAATTAAAAAAACAGGCTGGTTTTTTCTTAGATAACGCGTGGACAACACCGGACGACCAGCAAATGGCAACCCTTCGTGCTGCCCGTCATCGAGAAGTAAATTTTTATGCAGAATCCAGCCTTAAATTGAAAACTTTATGTTGAGGGGAACGTATGATTATTTTAAATATTACTTTCAGGGATTGAAAAATTCCGATGATTTTGAAAATTAGCCGACAAGTGTACTAGCCGACATGGCTTGGGAAATATATACATATATATAATGTTTTTTATTAATATAAATAAACTTATAGAGTTGTGTAAAATTAGAAATAATGTTTTAAAACATTTTCCAATAATTATTGTTGTAGCAGTTCAATCATCTCATAATCAAAGACGCAATCTTATTGGCTACTAAAAATATATAATTATTTTTTTGCGTCCCCTGACACAACTTCCTTTCTTAATATTTTCGATATTTATAGTTTTGTTTTATCGCATGGGCTTTTGTTCAAATTTTATAATAACCAAAATAAGATTGAAACATAAGCTGTGTTTGTTGGGAAGAATTTTGATTTATTTTAAATATTACAATTGTT